AATATTCATCCCTTCTCAGTTCATTGTCTGCAAAGTAAGTTTTTATGACATTTTGCAAACTTTCGTTTGCAAGGTCATGTACAATAGGTTCTCTTCCTTCTCTCTCCCTAACTTTCTTTCTAAACTCTTCACCAAATATACCATCTCTATGGTTCTGTGTAGTTCTTTGAGATAAATGTTCTAGAACGTCAGGTGTTATATTTCCCTCAGCCATGTTCATTTCATACTGGTCCAAAATATCTGCATCTTTCATATCTTTCAATGGCATTAAAGCCGCGCTGAAAATACCCGTTATATCTGGTTCACCATTCACTTCCATTGCGTCTACAACTTCTTGGAATTGTGGTTGTAAGTTTATGAACCACCTATCCGGATTAGCTTTATGACCCCATCTCATTGTAGTTCCATAGTCTGCAGAAACAAAAGTAGGTTTGTTTCCATATTGGCTAGGTTCTGAATGAACTTTAAACAATGTTTCATTTCTATATGTTTTGTTGAAATTTAACCTTTTTTTTCACCGAGTTCAGCCAAAGATTGAACGTTATATGGTCGTAAGTAAAAAGGATTATTGTATTTGCGTACATTTTCTTTCAGTACTTCCATTCTTTGCTGAATATTTTCATCTGATGTTGGAGTCTTTTGTATGTCGGTGAACATTTTTCGATATTCTTCTACTATGTCAGCCGAATTTTTCTTAGACTCTTGGAAAGATTCCATATTCACCTCATAGTCTTGTTGAGGGTCAAGATTTTTCGGCTGTTCCAAATCTTCATCTAGTTCTGTGAAGTTAGTTTCCAAAGGAGGGACTTGTTCGTTTCCTTCAGGCTCTTCTAGCTGTTGTTGCTGAACTATTTCTTCCATGTCTGGTTGTATCTGAACTTCTTCCTGTTGAGTTTCTTGTACCTCATCTGCTGGCATTTCATATATTCCGAGACCGTTTTTAACAAGTTCCCTATCTAAGTCATCCGGACTCATAAACCTTTCTTCTTTCGTTCCGTCTCTATTTTTTACGCGTTTCATGAAGAGAGTTGAATTATCATTTAGCTCTGACACCAAATATCTCGGAGTAAATTCATTCATGTCATTTGGATGATATGCTATTAAATCATATCCCTTAGCGAGCTTGTATTTTCCAGGTTTGAGATTATATCCGATTTGATGCTGAACCATAAAGCTAAATAGGTTCGGGTCAGTATTTCCTTCCTTGAACTTTCTAATAGCTTCTTTATATCTGTCACTAAAGTCAAGAGTATCTGGGTAACCATAATCTTCCTTAAGCATTTTTACGAATTCTTGGTTTCCTTTTTCTCTACTTCTTTTATGTCCTTGCTCTGTTTGTGGTTGTTGTTGTGCAGGGTTTTGAACTGTTGGTTGTTGTGCTGGTTGTGGAGGTGGTTGTTGTGCTGGTTTTGGTTGTGGTGCTGGATTTTGAACTGTTGGTTGCTGTGCAGGGTTTTGAACTGTTGGTTGCTGTGCTGGATTTTGAACTGTTGGTTTTGGTTGTTGTTGTGGTGCTGGATTTTGAACTGTTGGTTGTTGTTGTGGTGCATGCCTGTGTCTGTGTCCATGTGACGATGTAAATGTTTTAGGTAGTCCTGGTGCAGGTGCTTCTCTTGGAGGGTTGGTGGTATATAAGTTCCACCAGCTGGCACATATGTTCCATCTGCAGCATAATGTTCTACCTGACTTTCGTTTTTAAGAAAGCATTTACTAGGTCTGTTTTGGTCTGTTGTAACTCTTTTTCTTGACTTTCCACAACAGTTGCTCTAACGGCGTCATAGGCACTTTGAACTGCCCGTCTCGTTGCTGCATCTGTTATTTTCGTCATATTTTGTGCTACTTCTCTTAACTTTTGTCGAAACCTTCAGACTTCAGTTTCTTTCCAGATGAGAAGTCGTTCACTAGTTTCACCTTACTATGAAGAGCTTCGAAGGCATTCTTAAAGTCAGCATTCATTAAAGCTTCATTTGAACTGTCTTCATCCGCTTGCATTTTTGTCCTTATTGACCCTATAAGTTGGGCTGCTTTAGCGTTGGCTTGGGCATCTAACCAGTCATTATTAGCTTTTATAATATCTGCGCTTTTCATTGCCTTTTGCATGGCTGCGTCGTTATTTTTACTTTCTTGTGCTAAGTTTTCATACTGTACGGTTTGGTTTTGCAACTGTAAAAGTTTTTCTGCCTTTACATTTGCTTCAACTTCTTTTTTATACTCATCGCGATCCATATATGTCTTCATGGCTTTTTTTTATCTCTTCATCTTTCAGTACTTTATATTGAGTAGTATGGTTTTTCAAATTTATAACATCTTGTTCCATTTTTGCTACTTCTGCTGCTTTTTCTGACACTTTTTTCGCATATTCCTCTGTACTTAGTTCTTTCAGTTGTTCTTCTTTCTTCTTTTTCTCTACGTTTAACTCATTGAGTTTCTTTGTCTGTCTGTCATATTCTAGTTTCTTTTCTTTTTCACTTATTTGTTTCTGTATGTCTATGTTTGACTTTTTGACATCTGTTATTTGATTTTTGAGTGAACTCAAATTCATTTGACTTTGAGGGTTATAAGCTGTTCCGTCTGCAGCTCCACCATAGCCTGCCATTTTCGCTAAAAGTGCCGCTCTTAAACCCCCACTCTGTGCACCAATAACTCGGTTTAAAAGCATAGGGTTGCTTGACATTTGTTGCAGCATAGTGGGGTCATTCAGCATTTGTTGTTGCAACTGTTGTTGTGGTGTCAGTTTTACTATTGGATGTTTCAATGCTCTCTTCCTCTTACGTATATTCTTACGTAGCTTACGTGGCATTTTAAGTGAAGTTAAAAAGCGGTTTTTGACAGATGTTTATATGACACTTTTTGTTCAGCACAAAAAACTACTCGGTCAAAGTGTTGTCAGTTTTATAAAATAACCGTCTTATCTCATTCTATAAGGGGGAAAAGGCTTCTCAAAGTATACTTCCTTGGAACGCCTGTAACTTTTCCTGTAGCGACGATAGACCCTTAATTGTCCGGACAAAGTTATACTATTTTGAGTGCTCTACAAAAAAGTCAACGGCGACGACTCTCAAAAACCGTTATGTAAAAAGTTTTACCGTTGGACAAAATTTGAGATAAACCGTTTTTCCAACAGTAACTATTAAATAAAATAAAAAAATAGAGGGGGTCTCCGTTGACGAAAACGGTTTATCTCAAACTTTTCTATGAGTGGTCCGAAAAAAACAGTTCATTTTTATCTAATGGAAGCCAACGCTGTTAACCACAATTCAAACATTAACAATTCTCAACCGCTAACCAAAGCCAAAGCCCCACAACCTCCAAGAACTGGCACAGCGGTTAGAATAACCACCAAAAAGTCTAACAGCGAATTAAGAGAAATTCTTCAACAAATTTGCTCTAAATATCTCAAAGACGCCGAAGAAAACACACAACCAGACGCTACATACAATACTCAGTTCTGTGAAGTTCTGAACAAAGCAATTACTAGTTCAATTGAACTTACTAAGACAATTCCAAGTCCAATTGAGCTTAGCGATGTCTTAGTTCAGTATTTTCCAACATTTACTAAGCTTATAATGTTGAGAACTTTATACCAAGTTCGTCAAAATCTTCCTCATTACATCCAACGGTCATTCGACACGAGAATTGCCGAATTCCAAGTCTTTAGTTACGGATATGACGAAGATGAATACGTTGACGAGTTCGGAGACAACTGTACAAAATGGTTTGAATGTTATACGACAACACAATTTGAATTCGACTTTCTCGAATTCAACGCAGCAACCATTCATATCATTGCTCTTTACCTTTCCGAACAACAACAAGACCTCGCAGATGGAGATGTTGTTACTGTCGTCATGAAAACTCCAGAACAATTCGGAAAAAAGAAGTCTCTAATTGCCAAATTCGTTCCAGGACATCAGCTTTTCCAACGCACAGAAGTCTTCTGTATTCCTGGAACTAAGTTCTTTGTCAGGAGCGAACTCAAAGAAAGATATAATGTGTCATTCAATTACACATTATATAATGTTTTCGACCCAGAAGAAGGCTTCTTCCCAGAAGCAATGGAGGAGGAAGAAGAAGAGGAGGAAATACAAGACTCTATCCAAGAAGAGTCCTCCGAATTCACACCAGAAGACTAACAATTTTCCGAATAAAAACTTCATTTATACTAAACATCTTCGGGGCTAGAGGGCGCAACGCGCCTGGAAGCTCCACCTACCCGACCTTCATTTGGGTAGAATACTTATCGAAAATTATATTTATTATAATTTTGGTCGATAAAAATAAGCGGATTCAAAACTGGCAAAAACCCTTTCAGCAATTTGTGGACGATTCCGAACCCCCTCATTTTTGAAATTTAATAAGAAAAATAGAATCTTTATTAAATATAGATTTTAAAAAACTTGGTTATAAATTACGAAATTTTCTCACTTGGGCTAAAAAGTGACAATTTGGTCGGAAGCCACCCTTAAATTTTTGAAAATTAACACCTTTCAAAATTCAAAACTCTTGAATTTTTCGTTTTATTATTAAGATAATGCAATCAACATTATTACAAGATTTGAAATTTTTTGATTGTTTTTCGCTTATCAAATCATCGAATCTACGAAAACCCCATATTTTTGCAATTTGGTGCATTACATTCGTTCACATTTTTGATTAATTCCCATGAGGATCCCCAAGCAGTGCATATCTCCTATCATATTTCAATTTCTTGATAACATTTGCTTCCTATTGTTTTCATTTCATTAGTAAGTCGATTTCATTAAGGTATTTTTAAAGGATTTATATACAGATAACATGATTCTATTCATGATGATTTTAATATTTTTAATTTCATTAGTTCTAGCCATTAATACCAAAAACTATAAAAGTATTCAACAAGAAAAGTCGGTTAAACCAATAAACTATGAATAAATAAAATTTTTAAATTCCGCATATTTTTGTTAATAAAAAATAACAAATAATAAGTAAAAATATATGAAAAGGATAATGAAAACTTGTGATTAATAATATTGCTTTGGTCGGATCTTGAAATTACGAACAAACTCAAAATCAACTTCTTTAGTTGATAATGGTTTAAGAATTATGAGTTCAACTTTATTTGATTTACTGCAATGATAATGAACATCACATCCAGAAATATATAATTTATGATCTCCGTTTTCAATTTCTTTGGAGATACAAATTTGTTCAGTGATGTTTTTATTTGAAGAAGCTGAAATAGTTTTATTTAAACTGATGTTGTATATCCCATCAAATGATATATTGAGTGACTTCAAATTAGTGCTGTCTTGATGTTCAAATCTAAAGTCGATGTTGAGTTTACTTCCTCGAATGAATTTATTTTTAGTGAAGTTGTATAATATGAAAACAGGATCATTGTAAATATATGAGAAGTTTCTTGTTATAGGATTTGATGTTTTATTTGTTTCATCAATCGCCCATATTTTTATAGTATGATTATTACTTTCTTCGAAATCTGATGGAAATGGAGCATCTGCTTCAAATGAATCAGATTCAGTTGATGAAATATAATATGTTTTTCCTGTGCTTTTATTTTCTCTTCCATCAAATTGATAGTAAATAGTGACATTTCCACTTCCATCTTCATCTTGATATTTTTCTTTAATATGAAATGTTTCATTATATGTCTTCTTGAACTCTTGATCATCTGCTGTTGTGATACTGATTGATGGTGTATTGTAATTAAATTTGAATGTAAATGATTGTTGTTCTGTTTTCTTTTCTTCGTCATCAACAGCCCAAATGATAATTGTATGTGTTCCTTCACTTAAACCAGCTGGAATATTAATGCTAGTGTTGATATCATATAAAGATCTTGTTGTAATTGGGAATGATTGTAAAAGATGTTCAGTATCATTAGAATCAAACTTGCATTTAACATAAACTGTTCCTGTTTCATCATCATCTTCTACGGTACCTATGATAGTAATAAACGTATCAATGTTCTTTGTGTATTCTCTATCATTCTGAATTGTTATAGTAAGAATTGGTTTATTGTAGCTATAACTAAATGTATAAATTATAATATTCGATTGTTTTTGATACGAATCAACTGCAAAAATAGAAATATTGTGCTGTGACTCTGCAAGTGATGGAGGGATTCGAACTGTGAAATCGAATGGATATGCTTCATTTTTAATTTCAACTGGGACCTGCGTCATTCTAATTGGTTCTTCATCGTCAAACTTGCTGTAAATATCAATTATTTCGTTACCATCAAGATCTGAAACTAATCCATTAATTGTGATGATATCATCTGTATTCTTAGTGTATTCTGACTTAGGATATAGATTAAGTTGAATTATAGGATTGTTGTATAAATACGAGAAGTTTAATTTGTATATATTTGACTTCCTAGATGAACGATCAGTTTCTCTTGCCAAAATAGTTAAAGTATGACTGTTACTTTCTTGGAAATTCTGTGGGAATGATATATTATAATTAATTTGTATATTTTCTGCTGATGAAATACCAAACATATCTAGAAAACTATACCTATTTCCATCAAAACGGTAGTAAAGTTCAACAATTCCTCTTCCATCTTGATCTTTAATAGCTCCTTGGATATTAAATTGTTTACCATCATTCTTCTTGAACTCTTGATTGTCTGGTGTTGTTATAGCGAGCTTTAATGAATTATAAGTGCATTCGAATGAAATATTTGATGTTTCATTTGATAAATCAGATTTTTCTACATAAAGGGAAACTGTATAAGCACTGGCTTGTAAATTTTTGGGTAGATTGATTTCATGTGAGAACTCATTAGCATAAGTAGAAATTTCAACTTCGAATGAACCATGTATGTCTAAATTATCATTTGAAGAATAATGAACTATGGCTTTTCCTTGTCTACTAGAATCCAACACGTATCCTGATAATGTAATTATTTCGTCAATGTTATTTCTTACTTCTGCTGGATTTATTGCTAAATTATATAATGGCGATTCTTGATTTAAGTAAATTGTAAATTCTAATGTAACAGAAACTGTTTGGCCATTACTAAATGCAGTTAAAGTTAATACATGATCGCCAACAGATAAACAGGAACTATCCAAATAAAAAGTTTTAACCCTACTATCACCACGATAAACTATATTAAAATGACGCATGTTTGATGATGTATCAAGTTTATAGTAAATATATGCATTATAGGCTGGAATATTATATACAGAATAAGAAATCTTCAGCCATTTGTATGAACCATACAGTATCGTTTGATCTGAAGTGCTAACATCGATTCTAAAATTATCATCTGCAAGTAGATTTTTCTGATTGTTTTTATAGTTATAGTATAGTTTAATTTCGTTTTGACTTAATATTGTTCGATTATTCCATTGAATTGAAATCTCAATTATATTTTTCTCAGAATTGATGTGATATGAGAAGAAATCCGTAGATATCATTTCAAATAACTCACTTTTATTGTCATGTATGATGAAAAAGCCTTGGTTATTTTTTTCGATTGTAAACTTTGGATTTTTTATTGTAATATGCTGTTCAACAGATACTGTTTGTGGATAATATTCTTTGTTGAGCACATAATAATGAAATGGTTTATTTTCATCAAAAATTATTTGAAAATAACATCCGGAAAACTCCAAATGATCTGACAGATCATCCAGAATAGTAGTACTCTGTGATCCAACTGTAAGTTTTGAAGAAGATTTGATATACTGATTCAAATCAGTTAATAAACTAAAAAAAGAGAACATTTTCTAATAAAAACAGTCACGTTTTTATGAAGTTTTTGACAATGCTCACAATTCAAAAATGTTAGATTCTATAGTTAATTAATCCAATGCATTATTAGAATAATTTTCACGTTCAGAGACAGACTCGTAAAAATACGTTATTTCGAATAAAATCATATGAACTTTTTTTATTTTTCTCTCATTGGAATACCATCTCAGAAAAATTGCTGACATTGATAATAAGTTCTGAAGGTATTATTACATAATAGAAGATTTTCACTAAGTGACTCTTAAATCTGTAATCCTAATAAATGAAATTTTCGATTAATAAAACAATTGATTATAAAAAATTCAGCTAAATCGATATGGTTTAAATAAAAGAAAATTTTTAAATTCCGCATATTTTTGTTAATAAAAAATAACAAATAATAAGTAAAAATATATGAAAAGGATAATGAAAACTTGTGATTAATAATATTGCTTTGGTCGGATCTTGAAATTACGAACAAACTCAAAATCAACTTCTTTAGTTGATAATGGTTTAAGAATTATGAGTTCAACTTTATTTGATTTACTGCAATGATAATGAACATCACATCCAGAAATATATAATTTATGATCTCCGGTTTTAATTTCTTTGGGAATCTGAATTGTTGTAACCATGGTATTAATTGAAGAATCTGAAATAATTTTATCTAAACTGATATTGTATTTCCCATCAAATGATATATTGAGTGACTTCAAATGAGTGTTGTCTTGATGTTCATATTTAAAGCCGATCTTGAGTTGACTTCCTCGAATGAATTTATTATTAGTGAAGTTGTATAATATGAAAACTGGATCATTGTATTTGTATGAGAAGTTTCTTGTTATTTGATTTGATTGTTTATTTGTTTCATCAATTGCCCATATTTTTATAGTATGATTATTTCTTTCTTCGAAATCTGATGGGAATAGAACATCAATAGAAAGTGTTTGAGATTCAGTCGATGAAATAACAAGTTCATTTCCTGTTTTATTAGCTTCTCTTCCATCAAATTGATAGTAAATAGTGACATTTCCACTTCCATCTTCATCTTGATATTTTTCTTTAATATGAAATGTTTCATTATATGTCTTCTTGAACTCTTGATTATCTGGTGTTTCATCGATGTCGATTGTAGGACTGTTGAATTCAAATTTGAATGTTGATGAGTTTGGTTCACTATCAAGATACCCATCATTTGCAATCAATGAAATGTTATTATCTCCTTCTCGAAGATCATTTGGAACATTTAATGTTGCAGAAAATTCTTTATCTGATGATGTTACATCATTAACTCTCTTCAAAGTTTGATATTCATTGTTGTTAATGCTGTATTTGATTGTAACACTACTTGCACCATCTTTATCCTTAACTTTAAATTTGATTGTCATTTGAGAATCTCCGTTCTTTTTGAATGTATCAGGAGTGATTTCAATTATATCAATTTCTGGCTTTGAATTTGGTATAACCCTGAAATTATATGTTTTTGGATTTGATCTCTTTCCATTTTCTTCTTGAACCCAAATTTTGATAGTGTATGACCCTATTGATGGAATTGGAACTGTGAGATTAAATGGATGTTTTGCATTTGGATCATTGACTTTTATTGAATTATTTATGATTAAGTCTTGATTATCAATCTGATAACAGACATCTAATTTGCCTTCACCATCACGATCTGAAACGTTTCCTTTGATTTCGATATAACCATCTATGTCATTTGTCTATGATGACTTAGGCTCTGTTGTAACTTCAATTTCAGGTTCATTATACTTATAATTGAAAGATGATTTGTATATTGTTGAATTTTTGTTTGTTTCATCTGTTGCCCAAATAGAAATAATGTGATCGTTACGTTCTGATAGATCTGACGGAAATGGAATATTTTTATCAATTTGAATATTTTCTCTTGATGTAATTGGTAAATTATCTAGATTTTTGCGTTCATATCCATCAAACTGGTAATAAATGAAAACATGTCCACTTCCATCTTCATCTTTAACAGTTCCTTTGATATTAAATTGTTGACGATCATTCTTCTTGAATACTTGATTATTATTTGTTGTGATATCGAGATTTGGTGCATTATATGTGTAAATAAATGAAAGAGATTCAATTGACCTCGATATATCGTTTTTTTTCTACAAAAAGGGAAACTTTATTAATGCCTTCTGGTAAATTATTTGGTAGAGTGATTTCCATATTGAATGGATTAGAATATTTCCTGATTGGTACATCGAATGAATGAGATGTTGCTTGATCTTCATTGAAGTAATAATAGACTATAGCTGTTCCCCATCTACTATAATCCAACACCTTTCCTGATACTGTTACTGTCTGGCCACTGTTCTTTCTAATTTCTGTTGGATCTATTGATAATTGATAAAATGGTGAAGGCCAATTTAAGGGTGCACACGAGAGGATCATGTAAACTTCAGAATTTAGAACCTTATTTTTAGGCATTATCTTGGCTACCTATTTAGGCTTGAAAAGCAAAAAATATCAAAAAATACAACTTGACTCCATTATGACCCTTTCATGGAGGTAGTTTTTATCCGCTAGTATTTTCCCTTTGAATCTCTTTACAATTCGAAATCAAATTCAAAACTCAGTAGAAGAAAGGAAGAATCGACTTACTACGGTTGTAATACGAATAAATACATATATTTAATTATTTTTATTTACATAATAATTGTTTGAAGCTCATATTCCATCAAATTTTTAAATAAAAACATTAAAATGTTGAAAATGTTCATATATTTTAATAGGGTTTTAGCACTTTATTGAGGAATTACTACATACATAGTCGAACTGAACTTGATATTTTGAAATTTAAATTATTTATCAAAATTAAAATTTAACTTGAAATTTATAATTATTTAGTCATATTTTGCATAATTCTAAGTAGATTTTGTAAAAAATCAAGAAAGAAAAATTTTAACGTGCTTTATTTTTTCTTTTTTATAATAATACATATTATTATATAATTAACATATTCATAATGTTTCACCCTTTCAAAAATATAATCCTCCTCCTCTCAAATAAACGTACATACGGGTGGCCTCTTTTTTCAAAAAATTAAAATTTGAAATTTTGGGCTCAAATATTAGAGATTTTTTCAACCTTCAACGATATATGTTGTCTATATCAGACCTCCTTTCTTTTTGATACTTAACATTGTTCCTAAATCTTAGCCGTTAAGGCTGTTCTGAAAATATTTTTTTTTCGAAAAAATTCGAAAAAAATTCTTAAAATTCAAAAATCCCTTAATTCCTGAGGATTTTGGAAAAAAGTTTTTACATGAACATGTGTATATTATATGAAGTATATTGATAAGGTAAAAATCAAATTTTATTGCATATTCATCGAGAAAATAAACTAACGAATCCCTCAAAATTGAGAGGGTAATTCTCCTCCTCTCAAATAAACGTACATACGGGTGTACAATCACCAAAATTTAAATTGGATATATCTATCGTCTGATTTTCAATAGTATCATCAGAAGGAAAAACTCTATTTAAATAACTAGTGTAGCTCCCTCTGTAATCTTTTAAAGTATAATAAACTTCAACATAAGAACATGGTATATTTAATACTGTAAAGTTTATCATCAACTTTTCATTTGAACCTTGCGGAAATATGATTTTATTATATCCTGTAATTTCGATTTTGAAATCATTTTCAAGTAGATTTTTCTTATTGTTATTATAGTTGTAGTATAGTTTGAGTTCATTTTGACTGAAAATAGTTCGATTATTCCATTGAATTATTATCTCGATTATATCGTTTTCAGAGTTGATGTGACATGAGAAGTAATCTGTAGATGTCATATCAAATAATTCGCATTTATTGTCGTGTTTGATGGAAAAACCGAGATTTTTCTTTTCGATTGTAAACTTTGGATTTTTGATTGTAATTCGCTGTTCAATAGATACTGCTTGTGCATAATATTCTTTATTACTGACGTGGTAATGAAATGGCTTGTTTTCATCAAATATTATTTTGAAAAAACAGCCAGAAAGCTCCAATTGATCTGATTGACCACCTGCAATAGTAGAAGTCTGCGAGCCGACCGTAAATTTTGAAGTGAATTCAACATTCTGATTAAAAATAGTTAAGAAACGAATCAACGAAAGCATTAATTTCCAAATTTCAGATTTCACTTTTCAAGATCAGGTTTTTGACAATACATTCAAATCAAAATCTTGACAAAATTTTATGCTCAAAGATCTAATAATGTTATTTATTATATGTTTGAAAAATCACATTCAAAAAATTCTATGAGGTTTATTAAATTTTCTTCAAATGAAAAGAATGATTTTTTGAGAATTCTTTATCGCTCTCCGCTTTTTGCAACCTTAACTATACCAGAATATTAGATTTAAATGACCGTTTTTCATATTATTGCCATTCAAAAATTCAAATTAATTGAAAATTCTTCAAATTATAACTTTTCAATGGCTTTTGTTGAGAAAAGAATTTAAATTAAGGAGTGTTTGGTTACTTTTCACTTCCATACAATTCCAAAGTTTTGATGATGTTCTGTTTTATATAAAATTCTGAAGGAATTTGAAGCTTGTAACTTGACTTCTTTATTAAATTTATGTTATTGTATGCCTAAATTATTTATTATGAACAGAAATAACTTATTTTTTGATTAATTATCATTTTAGTATTGTTATCATATAAATTTCATTTTTTGATATACAAAAAGCTTATATATTTAAGTGATTTCATTAATAAATATAAAAACATCTGATATTAAAAAAATTAAGCTAAATCGAAATAAAATTAAAATTACAAATTTAGTTCCGCAGATAATGGATAATAAATAACAAATAATAAGAAAATATATATGAAGGAGATAATGAAAACTTGTGATTAATGGTATTGCTTAGGGCGGATCTTGAAATTACGAACAAACTCAAAATCAACTTCTTTAGTTGATAATGGTTTAACTGTGAGTTCAACTTTATTTGATTTACTGCAATGATCATAAACATCACATCCAGAAATATATAATGAATGTACTCCGGTTTTAATTTCTTTGGGAATACGAATATGAATTGTCAAATTTGTAGTAGATGAAGAAATAACCACTCTGATCAAGATCACTGACACTTCCACAAATATTAAATTCAATATCGTTCGGACATTTGTATATTGTTTGTCTATCATCAGTTGTTATAGAAATTGATGGTGTATTGTAATTGTATATGAATGCTAATATATGTATATCTGTTCCCATATTTTCATTATCAACAGCCCAAATAAAAATTGTATGAATACCTTCACTTAAATCTGATGGAATAGGAATGTTTTCATTGATATAGGGTGTCCAAAGGTGTGTTTAGCACAAACCTGAATACTGCGAATAGAAATAAACAAGTTACATATATATAAAGTTTATTTAAATATAATCACCATTGGATTCAATCACGCGTTCGCAGCGATCGATCCAGGCTTGAAAGACACGCTTTAAATCATCATGAGAAAATTGCTCAAATTGCTCTCTTACAAAATTTTCAAGATCATCTGGACTCGCGAATTCGCGTCCTTCAGCTCTCTTTTTTAGCGTGCCGAATAAATAAAAGTCAGAGGGTGCAATATCAGGTGAATAAATTGAGTTTGGAACAACTTTGACATTGTTTTCCACCAAGTAATTCATTACCTTATGACTTTTGTGAACTCTTGAATTATCAAAATGAATTGCAAACTTTTGTTTTTGTTGTTTGGATTTCTCAAACTCATCAGAATTGATAATTTGAGTAAGAACATTGTCAATTAGATACTGAGCATTCATCGTATTAGGTTTTTGAAGAATATCAATTGCGATGATGCCATTCACGCCCCAAAAAACCGACAACATCATCATTGGTGTGTCAATTTTTTTCTTCGGGAATGTTTGCGGATTTTCATCCTTCGGGATCCACATGATTTTGGCTTCTGTTGCATATTGAAACCAAGACTCGTCCCCTGTTACTAAAAAGCGAAACTTCTTGGATTGATACGCACCCAATATAGAGAGGAGCTCTTTCGAAGATTGGACTCTAGATTTTTTTTGAACTGAATTAAGGTTGTGCGGAACCCAACGTGTATACGCTAGTTTGTAGTTCAAATAATTGTGCAGATAATAACTGACTGTTGTACGTGGTATCTTTGTCATCTCCTCTATCCTTCTGAGTGATGCTCTTGGGTCTTCATCTAGCGCTTGAAGAATTGCTTTGATTTTTCTTTGATCCGGCGATTTTTTGTCAATTTTTATGATGGGCGCCTTTTTGTTCATGAAGTGATACATCCTAACATGATACGTTACAGTGGAATAGCTAGGAGCATCCATACCGAAGCATTTTACCAATATCTCGTAGATTTTTTACAGTCTTTGCATTTTTTTGCAAGAGCGAGGATGTTTTCTTTATGATTCATTAAAAAAATGAAAAAAATCCCGCCAAAATTTCCCGCGAAACCGCCTCTTGTCTCAAAATTCATTTTATATCCCGGCATGGCGCCAAAATACAACATACTCATCATATACATATATTCATATTTTTTATTATATATTTATAATCAGCATATATCTCCTTTAATAGTCTCATATAGAGCGCTGTGCTAAACGCACCTTTGGACACCCTATATTATAAAAAGATCTTGTTGTAATCGAGAATGATTGTAAAAGTTTTTCTTCACCATTAGAATCAACCTTGTATTTAACATAAACTGTTCCTGTTCCATCATCATCTTTGACAGTGCCTGTGACAGTGATAAATGTGTCAACATTCTTTGTGTATTTTGTATCATTTTGAATTGATATAGTAAGAATTGGAGTGTTGTGGTTATAAGTAAATTTATAAGTTTTATGTGCTGATTGCATTTGATAAGAATCACCTGCCCATATGCTGATATTATGCTCTCCTTGTTCAAATGTTGGAGGAATTCGAACTGTGAAATTAAATGGATATTTTGTGCTTTGATCATTGATTTCTATAGGAGATGATGTTATATTAGTTTCTGTTTCATTATCAAACTGGACGAAGAAAGAAATTTTGTCTTTTCCATCACGATCTGAAACTGTTCCTGAAAATGTAATATTGTCATCAGTATTTTTAGTATATGATGATTTAGGAGCTGTTGTAACTTCAATTTCAGGTTCATTATACTTATAATTGAAAGATAATATGTAGTTAGATGAATTTTTGTTTGTTTCATCTGTTGCCCAAATAGAAATATAGTGATTGCTACTTTCTGATAGATCTGATGGAAATGGAATATTTTTATCAATTGAAATATTTTCTCTTGATGTAATTGGTAAATTATCTAGAGTATTTCGTTCATATCCATCAAACTGGTAATAAATGAAAACATATCCACTTCCATCTTCATCTTTAACAGTTCCTTTGATATTAAATTGTTGACGATCATTCTTCTTGAATACTTGATTTTGTTTTGTTGTGATAGTAAGATTTGGTGGATTATATGTGTAATTAAATGAAAGAGATTCACTTAATCTAGATAAACCACGTTTTTGTACATAAAGATAAATGGTATAAGTATCTTCTTGTAAATTATCGGGTAAATCAATTGGTTGTGAGAACTTAGTTTTATAAGAAGTGATTTGAACTGGGAATGAACTATATAGTCCATAAGTTGTGTAATAATATATTGTGGCTGTTCCTTGTTGATTACTATCATCCAACACATATCCTGATATTGTAACTGAATGATCAATGTTCTTTCTAACTGTTGTGGGATTTATTGATAAATTATATAATGGTGAAATTTGATTAGAAATAATTGTAAATTCTAATGTATCAGAAACTGATTCGCCATTGTTTGTAGCCGATAATGTTAATACGTGATCACCAATGGATAAAGTAGATATATCAAACACAATGTATCTAAAAAAGAAAAGATCACCATGTCTAAAATTATTTATATCATTCATCTGCGAGTCTGAATCAAATTTATAGTATATATTCACTCTATAGTTATAACTTGGTATATTGTATACAGAATAATAAATTGTCAGCTTTTCATTTTGTCTATATTGAATATTATTTGAATTGAAAATTCTAATTCTAAAATCATCATCTGCAAGTAGATTTTTCTGATTGTTGTTATAGTTGTAGTATAGTTTGATTTCGTTTTGACTTAATATTGTTCGATTATTCCATTGAATTAAAATTTCGAGTAGATTTTTCTCAGAATTGATATGATATGAGAAGTAATCTGTAGATGTCATGTCAAAGGACTCGCGTTTATTGTCATACATGATGAAAAAGCCTTCTTTATTTTGTTCGATTGTAAAATCTGGATTTTTAATTGTGATTCTTTGCTCAATTGATACTGTTTGCGTATGATATTCTTGATTGTGAACTCGATAATGAAATGGTTTGTTATCATCAAAAATTATTTGAAAATAACACCCTGCAAGCTCCAAATGATCTGATAGAGCTTCTGGAATAGTAGCAGTCTGTGACCCAACTGTAAATTTCGATGAATATTCAATACTCTTATTAAAATCTGTTAATAAACGAATAAAGGTTAGCATATTTTAAATAGAGCGTCACTTTTTTTATTTGAGTATTTGACAAATTTGACAATTTTCATAATTCAAGATTTTGACAAAATTTATGTTATCAGATTAAATAATTATATAATTTGATAGGCGATTTGGAAAACTCATACGACGATCAAATTCTGTGAGCTCTATTGAATTAAAAATTCAATTCACAAATCTGATTTTTGTAGTTTTATTTGCAAATAAATACTAATGTACAAGCATGATGTCGTGACGATATATTTTTATATTTGGTCAGGACTTGACAAATCAAAATTAAGTCATAAAAAACATAAATATAGGATGCTGATTTATTGCATATTGATAATCCTGAAAAACATAAGTTAAGCTGTGTTTGTTCCATCGGCACTGCACACCGATAAAATTCTCCGAAATATTAGATTCAATCATGAAAATATCAATTAAATATTTGATTCATGTTATTGTGCTTGATACGACAGATCGATAATTCTTTAGGAATATGGGGTATAAAATCAAAATAGTAAAATAGATTAAAATAAATTAATCCATAACTTCTTTATTATGATTAATATGATAAAAACAATCATCTCATAAAACATTTTAAGCAAATACTATAAATATTAATACATATTTTTAGATATTTCAAGAATATGTCATCAAAAATATGTTTGATTTAATAGTTATAAATAAAATCCCCACAAAATAAGCAAAAAGCTAGGAAGAATAGAGGTTTATGGCTTTGCTTGATTATATTAATTGAAATATTAATCTGTCTAAATTAAACGTCTGTTTTTATGAGTAATATAGAAGAACAACTGCATAATGTTAATTGTTTTACCTGAGTTTGCAATTAAAAGGATAAACTTGGAAAAATTCTCGTATTTTCCCCCTTCTTTCCAACTTTTTTGTTTGAATTTGTTTCGACAATTGATTTTAACTAAGGTAATGATATTTGAAATAGAATAATTATTTAATGATTTCTAAATTGATTTAAGAATCATGAAGATCTATTTAAAATAAGAAGAATATCCCATTAAACATCATTGTTGTAACTTTCAAGCTGATTGAAATTCGTCATATATAAAAATATGGCGTATAATTTTGAATTTTTGAAATTTCTTGTAATAATCCACAATTGCTTGGAAGAAATAATAATACTGGGCATAACAACTTGCAGATATATTAATGAATCTTTGATATTTTTAAAATTTGTCATTAGATATGAAATTAAACAATATAAACAATAATTTAAATTGTTTGACATCAGTATATGCTTTTCATGATACTGTTTTGATTCTTACTTTCTCTGAAATCCGCTGGAAAATCAATAATTAATGTAAATGGTTGATATCCAGTTGATGAAATAACAAGTGTATTGGTTGTTTTATTAATTTCTCTTCCATCAAATTGATAGTAAATTGTGATTTCTCCACTTCCATCTTCATCTTGATAATTTCCTTCAATATAAAATGCTTTATTATATGTCTTCTTGAACTCTTGATTATCTGGTGTTGCAATTGTAACAATAGGTGAATGATATAAATAAGTAAAATTCAATTGAACTTCATTTGATTTCTTGTCACTTTCATCAATTGCATAAACAACAATTTTGTGTTCACCTTCTAAAATTGTTCGATCAAGATTAATATTAAAACTGAATGGTGTTGGTTGGATTGTAATGGAATAATTAGTTGAAATTTGCATTTGAGATGAATCATCAAATCTGTAGTAGATGGAGAAATAACCACTTTGATCAAGATCAATGACACTACCACAAATATTAAATACAATATCATTTGGACCTTTGTATATTGTTTGTCTTTCATTTGTTGTTATAGATATTGATGGTGCATTGTAATTGTATTTGAATGTAAATGATTGTTGTTCTGTTTTCTTTTCTTCGTCATCAATAGCCCAAATGAAAATTGTGTGTGTTCCTTTACTTAAATCTGAAGGAATATTAATATTTTTATTGATATTATAAAAAGATCTTGTTGTAATTGGGAATGATTGTAAAAGTTTTTCTTCACCTTTAGAATCAATCTTGTATTTAACATAAACTGTTCCTGTTTCATCATCATCTTTGACACTGCCTGTGATAGTGATAAATGTGTCAACATTCTTTATGTATTTTGTATCATTCTGATTTGTTATAGTAAGAATTGGAGTGTTGTGGTAATAATTAAATGAAAAACTTATATTTGATTGTTTTTGATAAGAATCAACTGCCATAATAGAAATATTGTGTTGAGTTACTGAAAATAATGAAGGAATTTGAACTGTGAAATTGAATGGATAATTAGTATCTTGATTTGTGACAATGATTTGTGACTTTTTGATTGATTCACCATTGTCAAACTTGTAGAAAATATCAATGATATCATTACCATCACGATCTGAAACTGTTCCGACAATTTTGATGATGTCATCTGTATTCTTAATGTATGATGATTTAGGAGTTGTTGTTATTTTGATTGCAGGATTGTTGTAAAAATATGAGAATGTTTTGAAATATTGACTTGAGGATTTGTTTTTCTCATCTGTTGCCCAGATTGTTATTTGTTGATTGCTGCTTTCTGGAAAATTTGGTGGAAAATCAACATTAAAATCAAATGGATATGCGTTTGGATCTGTACTTTTAATTTCATATTGAGATAGAGTGACAATTTCTTTCCCATCAAATTGATACTTAAGTGTAACAGTTCCACTTCCATCTATGTCACCTAAAGAACCTTTGATACGAATTCTTTGTCCATCGTTTTTGGAGAAAACTTGACCATCCTGCATATCCATATTAAGAGATGGATTGTTAAAGTTAAAAAGGAAATTCTTTGATTTTGGATCACTATCAAGATATCCATCATTTGCAATTAATGAAATAGAGGTGGATCCTTCAGGAAGATCATTTGGGATATTTATTGTTGCAGAAAATTGTTTATCTGATGATGTTACATCATTTACTGTTGTCAAAGTTTGATATCCTCTGTTTTTAATGTTGTATTTGATTGTAACACTGTTTGCACCATCAACATCTTTAACTTTACCTGTGATTGTCATTTGTGAATTTCCATTCTTTGTGAATGTATTAGGAGTAAATTCAAATGAAACAATCTCTGGTTTTGAATTTGGCTTTGATACTGTGAATAGAAATTCATTTGAACATTCAGTTCCTTCACAAATTCTCAAATATAATGTGTGTGAACTTTTGCTTTGATCTGTGATATCAAATCTTTGATTTTCATATCTTTTAACTCCTTCAAAATTGGGATTAAAATAAACCGTATCAAAAGTTTTATAATCTTGTGCATCTATTTTCCATTGTAATGTTTTAGGGGTTGAAGAGAATCCTAAATCAGCACTAAATGTAGCAAGTATGTAATTTTGATTTGAGTAATCCATATACATATCTTTGATTACAGAGTCAAGCTGAAGTAACTTCTTTTATATTTTATTGTATTCTATTTTTAAACATGTTTTATTCATTATTTTTCTATATTTCCATCCAATAACTATTTCATATTTAACTAGTTGAGAATCAGAACTTGAAGTACAAGAAAAGGAATCTGCTAATGATAAGTCGAAATGTTTTTTCTGATTTTTATGAGAAATTGTCAATCCATGAGAATTATAATTTAGATTAACACTGGAATTGTATCGAAAGTTAAGGTAAATGTGCAGCTCAAGAGAAAATTGTACTTGAAATGCATTATGATTGAATATTTTGTAATATAGCGAATTTATTTCGTCATGCATTTCAATTTCGCAATTGTTGATTGTTAAGTGATCGATTTCATTGTTGTAGATAGTATAGTTTTGCGAGTCAATATGAATTATTGATAAATAATTTAAATACTTTAAATCAGAAAGTGCTCGGAAGAAACTCAACATTCAATTCGTTGGCCGTACGTGATCCAATTGTTGGCTCCAAAATTATTACAATAAGATATACACATTTACGATAATTCAAATATCCAATTAATAGTTCACAGATAGGAGATTTTTAAAATTTCGCATTTATAAGTTTATGTTTTCTTCAATTTTTTTTGAAAAAAATAAGCATGTCGCAATTGCCACAAGGTGGTCTATTTTTGAAGAAATATTGCCTACGTGGGAAATAGTGTAAAGTATTGAATTCAGAGGAAAATTACAAAAATACTCATTTTGAAGGAATTTCGGTCATAAAACATGATTTTATTATATGAACATTTACATGGCTTGATGCGTATGTTCTAAATCTTTAATTAAATCACATAATTCATCTACATTTTATAATTTTATAATTTGATTTCTCTTCAAATCTGCTTTCAGATTGAACTTCTAGGCTCAAATTTCGCGGAAAATTTTCCAAAAGTATTGCCCAAACCGACGTGCTTAGAAAAAATAAATGTTATAGTTTTGGAAAGACTTTCCGATCGTTTTTAGTAGGGCTGTACAAAATCGAGAAAAACATTGCCGTGCGGTAATATAGGGTCAGAAAAATCGCGCCTCGGCGGCTCCGCCGCCTCGGCACTATTAAGTGCGCATTATATTTAATATGTCCTTCTTTTTTTTCTTTTTTTTTCTTCTTCTTTTCCTTTCCTTCTTCCTCTCCTTCCTCTTCTTTTCTTCTCCTTCTCTTTTTACAACAACGTCGAAGATCTTCGAATTTGATTGTTGGAAAAGCATCTATTTCAGATAAAGGATGCCTTTCTCACAGTCAACATACGAGGGTCCTGGCTGAAACGTTCTCAAAAAGCCTGAGATGGTAATTCTCTGATCACTCATAGCTGGGCAGGTAGTCATTGCTGACAATACCTGTCTTTATGCATGCACGCTTTCATGTATATGGGTTTACACTATCAATTCGCAAAGTTGTTCCGAATTCTTCCAAAATGGAAGGACCCGAAACAACTTTGCTTGTTAACGATACAGACGCATTACTTTGCATTGATACTGTGCTGAGTTGTGTAGAAAGTTTGATTAGAGTTGTTTTGTTCTGGTATCTCTCATCTTCTGATGAGAGAAATCAAAGCAACACAACTCTAATGAGTTTGTTTTCACTCATTTGTATGTAGGTTTTTAGTTCGATTGGAGCTGCTTCATAATGAGATCTCTCATCAATTGATGAGGGAGATCATAACAAAGCAGCTCTAATGTATATGCTCGTATTAACCGGATTATAATGCGTTGTAACGTCAGCTTGTAGTTCGTTTGGGGCCACTTCACATTGAGATGAGAAGAAATGATTAAAGGACTCTGACAGGCTTTGGCCGTTGATGTTGTAATCGCATTACTTGGAACTAGCTGGATGCTAAGCTGTGTAGAATGTTCGATTAGAGCTGTTTTGATATGATTTTTCTCATCATAAGATTGGAGGAATCATAGCAAAGCAACTCTAATGGGTTTACCATCATCTACTTGTATGTAGATGTTTGGGAAATTGTCTTGTTAATCGATTTTCGAGATGACTTTCAAATGCCATAATCAAATGACAAACAAGTCTAAGATTTCTCGACAATACATCAAATCATGATGTTTGTAAGTGCGATGAGATTAGAGTTTTTGAAGGAATGACAAGAGAAGTAGGGAATCTCGGCATTCGCCGAGCAAATTAAAAATTAACGTATGGATTAAATTTTAAGAGGAATTCAATTTTAATTACGGGTTGTTCAAATATTGATTAATATAAATTTATTAATAAGAATAAACAATTTTTGTTTTTGAATTTATTCAATTTATAGCTTTACATATAGTTTCAAAATTGTACAACTATGATTATTTCAACAAAAAATATCTTACTTTTTCACTTCACTTTCACCCTCACTTTTTCCGTAATTCAAATTTCAACATTATGTATTTTAATTCCTTATAGTATTTTTAACATAATTAATCAAATAATAATTGGAAGTTCTGAACTCACTTTTTCCGTAATTCAAAATCAAAAATATGAATAATATATCTATTTATTATATACTAATGCTATTTTCAACTAGAAGTGAGGTACGGTAATCTTACGGATTCCCTAACTCAATTTTACGGAAAAAGTGCAATAAACTACTCAATTTTACGGAAAAAGTGCAGTAAACTACTCAATTTACGGAAAAAGTGTCGTAAACTATTGATGTGGCGGTAAAATCACGGTAATTCACGGAAAGCTATATGCGAAAATTTGAAATTATACAAAATCGAGCGAAACACTTTTAAATAGGTTGTTCTCGTATTTAAAATATAGGGTGTCCAAAGGTGCGTTTAGCACAGCGCTCTATATGAGACTATTAAAGGAGATATATGCTGATTATAAATATATAATAAAAAATATGAATATATGTATATGATGAGTATGTTGTATTTTGGCGCCATGCCGGGATATAAAATGAATTTTGAGACAAGAGGCGGTTTCGCGGGAAATTTTGGCGGGATTTTTTTCATTTTTTTAATAAATCATAAAGAAAACATCCTCGCTCTTGCAAAAAAATGCAAAGACTGTAAAAAATCTACGAGATATTGGTAAAATGCTTCGGTATGGATGCTCCTAGCTATTCCACTGTAACGTATCATGTTAGGATGTATCACTTCATGAACAAAAAGGCGCCCATCATAAAAATTGACAAAAAATCGCCGGATCAAAGAAAAATCAAAGCAATTCTTCAAGCGCTAGATGAAGACCCAAGAGCATCACTCAGAAGGATAGAGGAGATGACAAAGATACCACGTACAACAGTCAGTTATTATCTGCACAATTATTTGAACTACAAACTAGCGTATACACGTTGGGTTCCGCACAACCTTAATTCAGTTCAAAAAAAATCTAGAGTCCAATCTTCGAAAGAGCTCCTCTCTATATTGGGTGCGTATCAATCCAAGAAGTTTCGCTTTTTAGTAACAGGGGACGAGTCTTGGTTTCAATATGCAACAGAAGCCAAAATCATGTGGATCCCGAAGGATGAAAATCCGCAAACATTCCCGAAGAAAAAAATTGACACACCAATGATGATGTTGTCGGTTTTTTGGGGCGTGAATGGCATCATCGCAATTGATATTCTTCAAAAACCTAATACGATGAATGCTCAGTATCTAATTGACAATGTTCTTACTCAAATTATCAATTCTGATGAGTTTGAGAAATCCAAACAACAAAAACAAAAGTTTGCAATTCATTTTGATAATTCAAGAGTTCACAAAAGTCATAAGGTAATGAATTACTTGGTGGAAAACAATGTCAAAGTTGTTCCAAACTCAATTTATTCACCTGATATTGCACCCTCTGACTTTTATTTATTCGGCACGCTAAAAAAGAGAGCTGAAGGACGCGAATTCGCGAGTCCAGATGATCTTGAAAATTTTGTAAGAGAGCAATTTGAGCAATTTTCTCATGATGATTTAAAGCGTGTCTTTCAAGCCTGGATCGATCGCTGCGAACGCGTGATTGAATCCAATGGTGATTATATTTAAATAAACTTTATATATATGTAACTTGTTTATTTCTATTCGCAGTATTCAGGTTTGTGCTAAACACACCTTTGGACACCCTATACTATTCCCAGATTTATTGTCGTCAGAATATTTCCAAATTTTTGCCGATTTACAAAAAATGATTTACAAAGCATATTTTTAATCTAAAAAATTCCTAAAAAAAGGAACCGGTGTGCGGAAACCTCGGTAAGTTACCGCGGTTCCCGTTGGGACTGCCATAGTTTTTAGTGACGCCAAAGCTTTCAAAAATTTAAAATTAATTGATGTCACGATGTAAACCACTCAATATTGAGAAGTTTACGTCGTGACGTAATGATGACTCCAACCACACCCCAACCCATCAGAAATTACTAAATTTTCCTTAAATTATTATTTTAATCCTTATATGAGGATTTTTATTTATTTATTATTATTTTTTAGAAAACATTCTACACTAAAATGATTTTTTAGATTGCAACATCGGAATAAGGGATAAAATAGGTGTTGAATAACATCTTTTGGCTTTATTCCGCATTATCAATTTCTCAGTTATATAAAGAAATGTGAATCTCATTTGTTGGTGATTTGATTCTTTCCCATCATCGTCAACAGCATAAATATCAAGTGAATGAGTTCCAGTTTCAATGACTTTTGTAAAATTAAACTTATCATAAAATTCAGCTGAAACAGAATCTCTCAAAGTCACAGATCCAAAATTTACAGGTGGTTCTTCATCTAAAATGTATTTTATAGTAATCGTTCCTTGTCCATCAGCATCTCGTACAATTCCTCTGAGAAAGAAATTACTGATCATATCTCCTATTAATGTTTGTTTAGTTTTTGATTGGATTTCTAAAACAGGAGAATTGAATTCATAATTAAATCGGCTTGTGTAGTTCTCTGATTTCTTACCACTCTCATCTTCTGCAATGATGAAAAAAGTATGTGAAGATTCATTCAGATTTGCTGGAAACTTTAATTTAAACGAAAAATTGTGCTCACTGATATTTTTAATCTCTATTTTCTGACTATCAATTAACAAATCATCAATGAAGCATGAAATATTAACAATTCCTTCTCCATCCATATCAACAACAGTTCCTTCAACATCAAATGTATTAGAAACCTTTCGTTTATATATTGAATCTCCAAATTTTGTCATTGTTAGATTAGGAAAGCTGTATAGAAATTCAACGACTTTGAATTCGATTTTGTCTGAAATGCTGCAATGACCATGAACATCACATCCATACAAATAAATATTATATTTTCCGAATGCAATTTCATTTGGAATATTAATTCTTTTAGAAACTTTTTCAGGGATATTTTCAGTGATATCTGAAATATTAATAATTAAACTCATGCTCTGATTGCCATCAAATGATATATTAAGTGACTTTAAAGCAGTATTGTCTGGATGTTCATATGTAAAGTTGATGTCAAGTGGACTTCCTCGCATGAATTTATTCTCAGTAAAGTTGTATAATTTGAAAACTGGATCATTGTATACATATGAGAAATTTCTTGTGATTATTTCTGATGTTTTATTTAAATAATCATTTGCCCATATTTTTATAGCATGATTATTACTCTCATTGAAATCAGATGGAATGTGAGCTGTGAAATTAAATTCATAATTTTCTGTTGAGTTTGTGACTGTGATTGATGTAATATTAATTTTTGTTTCATTGTCAAACATGTAGTAGATATCAATTCGGCCTTTACCATTAAGGTTTGAAACAGTTCCATTAATTGTGATGTTGTCATCTGTATTCTTCGTATATGAATTTTTTATATCGTTTGTAATATTAATTATAGGATTGTTGAAAGTATAAGAGAAGTTTAAACGTGCAGTTGCTGAACTTTTGCCTGTTTCATCTGTTGCCCAAACTTTGATAGTGTGACTGTTACTTTCTGATAAATCTGATGGAAAAGTAATATTTATATCAAATGTTTCGCTGGCTGTTTGATCTAAAGTAATGTTTATTATATTATTAATTTCTCCCTCATCAATTTGGTAGTAAATTCTAATTGTACCATCTTTGTCTTCATCAGTAATAGTTCCTTCGAGGTTAAATGAACGACCATCATTCTTCTTGAATTCCTGATTGTTTGGAGTTGTGATAGTAATATCAGGAGAGTTATATGAATAAATGAATGTGAGAACGCTTTCATTTGATTTCTTAAGATTTTCATCATAACAATAAATTGTCATTTTGTGAATTCCTTCATTCAAGTTTGTTGGAATTTCGATGTTTTTATTGAATTCATGAGATGATGTATCATCTATGCTTATTGTTTTTAGAAGTCGTTCTAAACCATTGTCATCAATAATGTAATTTATTGTAACTGTTCCACTTCCATCAAGATCAGTGACATTTCCTTTGATTTCAATTTGATTATTTATTCCTTTTCGAATTTGTTGATTGTTTTCTGTTGTTATAGAAATTGATGGTGTATTGTAATTGAAATCAAATTGGAAATGAAAATGATCTGATTGTTTTTGATTAGAATCAACAGCCCAAATATAAATTATATGTGTTCCTTCTTTTAATGATGATGGAATTTTAACTGTGAAATCAAATTCATAAGTTACATCAATATCATTAACTGACCGTGATATCTCCTTAGTTGGTGTTTCATTGTCAAATTGACAGTAAATATCAATTTGATCTTCGCCATCACGATCTGAAACAGTTCCAGTAACTATGATATTTTCATCTGTATTCTTTGTGTATGATGACTTAGGAGCTGTTGTGATACTGATAATTGGTGGATTATAAATGTATTCGAATGAAAGATTATATGTTTTGCTATTAAAACCATCTTTTAATAAATAAATATGAATTGTGTGATTGTTCTCTGGTAAATCATTTGGAAAAGTGATTGGTTTATTGAAAGTTTCATCATTTGAATCGACTTGAACTTCGTATTGATTTTGAGTGTTATTATCTTCGTTGAAGTAATATTTAATGAGAGCTGTTGATTCTCCATTTGGATAACTTGCAATTCCTGATAATGTCAATGTCTGACCACTGTTCTTTATAATTTTTGTTGGATTTAAACCTAAATTAGATAGAGTAAGTTTATTTGAATATCCAACTGCAAATTCTAAAGAAGTTGTATTAGTAAATTTATTATCACTCTCAGCTCGTACAGTTAATATGTGATCACCATAATCTAAATCGGAAATAACAATTGATTCACTTGAATCAAATGGATCACGATATACATTAGGATTTTTTGTTTTTTTAATACTGAATCAATATAAAATTTTATCTCCACAGAATTACCTGGAGGATTATATACAGCATAATAAACAACCCAAACATTGTTTTTATCTGGAAACATTTTCTGAGTTGATCCTGTAAGTTCAATTCTAAATTCATCATTTGCAAGTAGATTTTTCTTATTGTTTTCATATTTGTAGTTATGATTTAATTTGATTTCGTTTTCTTTTCTTTCAGAAAAATTATCTTTTGAATTTTCAAAATATTCATCCATATTACGAGTATTATTGTGAAATATCGATTTAGATTCACTTAATAATGTAATATTAGACATTTTCGTTTACGTAATTCGTTCATTTTTCTTGAGTTCGGAAGTATTTTTACCAAAACGATAAGATATAGCATTGATATGTAGCAATATATATTTATGTTGTTTTGTTTATGTAGAAATAACAAGATAAATAAGATTGCGTCAAATTATTTAGATAAAATTTAAAATTTTTAGTTTCTGGCGTTTGATATTCGTTTATTGTTGTAGTTTTATTAGTATTATTCATCATAAATTGCAGTAATATTGATGAAATTTGATTTTATTCCTTCAAATTAATGAAGGACTCCCCATCAAATTTACCATTAAAAAATTGGATAAAAGAACTTGTTATTTCCATAGAATTTTTGTTTGTCTGAAGTAATAATTTCCATTATTATATTCCTATGCGAGAACAGAAATCTTGTAACTCAATTTCAATAATTTAAAGCAATTATTTTATTATTATTTAATATCTGGTTTATAATATGATAGAAATTTATAATTATAGCATAGTTATGACAACAATTGTTTATTGTTAGCTTTAAGTGGAAAGTGTATCTTTATAAATCAGAATAATAAGCTAATGTTAATGCATAAATTGTTTTAGGAATCGAAAGGATGTTGATGCGTTTGTTGTCTTTCAGACTGTTAGGAATAACAAAAAATGTTAGTGATTGATGTGATGATGTTTTATTATCATCATCAACAACATAAAGATAAATTGAATGAAATCCACATGAAATAGAATCAATTCCAATTGATTCGGTGAATGGACGTTGATTACGATCATAAATTTGAAATGTCGTTAAATCATTAAATGTTTCTTCATCAAGTTTGTATTTGACTGTGAATGTTCCTCGCTCATCTGAATCTTGAACAAAACCATCAACATAAATCTTCTTATTCACATCTTTGATGAATGTTTGATTATTTCTCGTTGTTATTTGTTTGCGATAATAGACGACAGATCGCGAAAAATCATAGATTTTAATTTATTTACCGAAAAAACAGCTCAAAATACAACTGCAGTTCTTAAAAGAGCATTAAGTACTCTACCTCAACCACCATACGCTATTTGGACTGATAACGGCCTTGAAAATAAAAGCTCATTTCATCAACTTTTGGTTGAACGTGGAATTGAGCATATTTTCATTCAACCGGGCAATCCACAGGCAAATGGTAAGATTGAGAGATGGTGGCCATACGTGGAAAGAAACTGCAAGTCAGAATCAGATCTTCCACGGGTTATCAGATTTTACAATAATATGCCCCATTCTTCTTTGCCTGTGAATCCTGAAACGAACGTTTGCTTTACGCCGAATGAATTCGAGGCCAGTGAAATTGATGATCACTGGTATCGAAATCCAGAACAAGAACCATTCTGGATAGTCGACGGTCAATTAAAAAACCTTAAGGAAAGCATTGACGAGTTCAGAAAATGAAAATCTCGAGCAAGTTCAATAAATTTTCAACAAATTCTCAAATCATTACGAATAAACACTTAATATTATCGTATTTACATCTTTTTAATACAACTATTTACTTACTGATGATTCATTGCAAATCGTAGATTTGGATGATAAGTTATCTAACAAAAGTTTCCGAGCTTACCGTTTAAAACAATAGTCTACATCATATCTACGAATACCTCGTTACTCCGAGGTTCAGGTTAGTAAAAATCAATCTAAAAATATTTTTTATGTACGTTAATGTAATCTGAGAGTGAGAGGCATATAGGCATACTATATACCTCTCACCCTTCAATTCCTACCAGAAAGTTCGAAAACTTGGTCGCAATTGCATCTGATTGCGACCAAGTTTTCGAACTTTCTCGAGGGAATAGGAGCCTACAAAGCACTGATTATGTATTAGTGCCTGGTAGGCTCCTATTCACTTTCTAAATGGGAGAAACTTTGCTTTCATAAGATAACATACGAACAAAGTTTCTCCCATTTAGAGTTTGAATTGAAGGGTGCGAGGTATATAGGCATACTATATATCTCACCCTTCAATTCCTATGAAAACAGTTCTAAAATAAAAATAAAAAACAAACTTAAATTAACTATTAAATTTTTTATATTTTAATTTCATATTTTTAATAAAATTCCTTATATATTATAATTATTATATTAAAAACCCTTTCGAATTTTGGCGCGAAAATAAGAGTAGGTGTCACTTTTTGTCACTTTTCTAGTGACCCTTTTCGGTACGGAACAAAAAATGTGAATTCATGTTCATTTGTAATTGTAACATCTTCAATATTATGTCGAGAACTGTTGTCGATGACATAGAAGAAGTAAATATGTTCTGCATTGTTTTCGTTTGTGAATGTTCCTGAGACTGTGATATTTATATCAATTTTGTTGTGGTATGTAGACAGAGGTTCTTTGTTGACAATGAGAGATGGATTGTTGAATATATATATGAAATTGATGTTTTCTTCATTTGATTTCTTAAGACTTTCATCATAACAATAAATTGTGACTTTGTGAATTCCTTCATTCAAGTATGATGGAATATCGATGTTTTTATTGAATTCATGAGATGATGTATCATCTATGCTTATTGTTTTTAGAAGTCGTTCTAAACCATTGTCATCAATAATGTAATTTATTGTAACTGTTCCACTTCCATCAAGATCAGTGACATTTCCTTTGATTTCAATTTGATTATTTATTCCTTTTCGAATTTGTTGATTGTTTTCTGTTGTTATAGAAATTGATGGTGTATTGTAATTGAAATCAAATTGATAATGCAAATAATCTGATTGTTTTTGATTAGAATCAACAGCCCAAATATAAATTATATGTGTTCCTTCTGAGAATGATGATGGAATTTTAACTGTGAAATCAAAATCATAATTTGTATTTATTTCATTGACTACTATTGATTGTGATGTCTTCTTAGTTGCTGTTTCACTGTCAAATTGGCAGTAAATATCAATTAGTTCATTGCCATCACGATCTGAAACAGATAAAGTAACAAAGATGTTGTAATCTGTATTCTTTGTGTATGATGACTTAGGAGCTGTTGTGATACTGATAATTGGTGGATTATAAATGTATTCGAATGAAAGATTATATGTTTTGCTATTAAAACCATCTTTTAATAAATAAATATGAATTGTGTGATTGTTCTCTGGTAAATCATTTGGAAAAGTGATTGGTTTAGTGAAAGTTTCATCATTTGAATCGACTTGAACTTTGTATTGATTTTGAGTGTTATTATCTTCGTTGAAGTAATATTTAATGAGAGCTGTTGATTCTCCATTTGGATAACTTGCAATTCCTGATAATGTCAATGTCTGACCACTGTTCTTTATAATTTTTGTTGGATTTAAACCTAAATTAGATAGAGTAAGTTTATTTGAATATCCAACTGCAAATTCTAAAGAATTCTCGTAAACGAAAAAGGGGATTTGACGGAGTCAAATCCCCGCTCACAAAAAGTGGACTTTACATGTCAAATTTTATATGCATGTAATGTCCACTTTTATGAGTTTTAGGAAGGAATTGGAAGCCATGAGTTACTGACATTGCATCAGTATCTCATAGCCTCCAATTCCTTCAAAAATGGGAGAAACTTTGTCCGAATAGTTTAACATTCGGACAAAGTTTCTCCCATTTTAAGAAGGAATTGGAGGGTAAGAGATATACCATATGAATGTATATCTCT